CCTTACCTACTTAAGGAGGAAATCTTGATTGGTAAGTCGATGCTATCCGCAGATTCAGGGATTTACTTCTAGGTCGGTGCAGGCTAATAATTTACTTCTTGCAGGAGAAAGTGCACAGTCATCTGATGGCTTTCTTAGTTAGACTGATGGGATCTCTCTTTGTCTACAATCCTTTTCATTTCTACATAATACCCATTTCTGTGATGTTTGTTCAATGTTCTTTAAATGAGGCTTTTCAATGGGGCTGTTGTTTACTCTTTTCTCTTCACTCGTGTTAGAACAGGTAGACTTTTCCACACATAGTTCTTCTTTCTTCTCTACACTTTTGTTCTTCCTTTCATGTTATTGCTTTAGTTTAGTTTTTCTTATGTTATCTAAATTTGTTTCTTTTTGATTTCTTTGACTTTAGTTGAGTTCAGACATTCATTTGAAGTTAATCGCATGCTTCAAATTTGCATGAAGTCCTTATCTTTCAAAGTTTTCTGTCCTGGGGAACAAAGAAATCTCTTCTGTGTTTTTGAGGGAATATGTGCCTTTGTAATAGAGTGTTCACAGTGCATCAAAGCAGCAGGTTCCATTTGTCAACACACGGTTTTAAGCTGCAGCCTGTTTTGTCTGTTTGCAGATTTTGTCCTCAAAACCTGGAGGAGAGCTTTTACATGGAAAAGGGCCTCAGCAGTTATCGAGTCAGACCGAAGTTCCGCACGATTACGATTCTGGGAATGACACATCTTCACCACCATCGAGCAAAACAGGTGTTTCTCGAACAAGTGTCACTGACAAGAAGAATCACTGTCAACGTCTGGCCTCACCAGAGAAGCTGAAGTTCACTGACAGAGACAATGCCTCTGACTCAGGAAACTCTGTGACCAGCTACGCTTCCTTGTGCAAACCATATGGGGAGGACGGCCTGTCTGCGACCATTTTCACTGCAAGCGACAAGAGGTAATGTTGTGTTCATAATAAATGACCTATCTGAATGAATGCTTTCAAAACAAATTGCAAGCTGTTTCTCTTCTGTTTCCTCTTTTGAAATATTCATCTTAAAAGGGAGGAAAAAGAGAGACCATTTCTTAAAAACAACCCTGGGTGTCATCACTCAGAGTAGTGAAACGTCTCAATGTGTTTTCTTTGCAGAGAGCAGATAACCTTGGGGTGTCGGGTACAGGCTGTGAGGTCTCCAAAGGCTTCCAGCTGTTCACAGAGGATGAGCAAGTCGTTTCAAAGGCGACTGAAAACTCGGTCATCCAGCAGCAGGAGCAGGAGCAGGTCCTCAAGGAGTTCCAGATACTCTGGACGCTACTCTCGAAGCCCGTCGCTGTCATCTTGCAGGTGGATTAACTACTTTTATGGTGTACATTACTAACATCCACTAATACCCAAGTTCCACTAAGTATATGTCCACTCACATTTTTCATTTTGTGCACAAAAAAGAGGAAATGTAGAGCATTCTGGTGGCCTGATGATTAACCACGATGTCTTTGGGTCACATTCAGTCACTCAGCTTTTGTTGCATGTCATTCCCCATCTGTTTCCCCTTCAGGTTAAAAACAGAAAATATTATTAAGGCTGATGAAAACATGCTAGATGAATCGGCATATCATTAGTACAGACATTCACAGATCCCGGGCAATGAATCCTAATGACTTTGGTGATCCCCTGACCTCCTCTAGCGCCACCATGAGGTTAACACTTACTGATAATAACACCACAGACAAATGTATTCATAAACACAAATATAAATTCTCTCATAGGTGGAGAAAATTGTCATAATGAATCAGATCATTGATGCTCGATGTACTGTATATATAATACACTTGCAAAAAAAGTTACAGAAACATAATGAGTCTTGTTTAATCTGAAATTTCAAAAGGTTGCACAGAGATTTGTGGAACCTTACCTATTGGATCTTTGCTCAGTTCCAGCAAATAATTGCAGTTCCCTTGTTGCAGCTCATACTCACGTTCACCGAGTTATTCAACTGACCTGAGGCGACGAGGCAGCGTGGCGAGCCTGAGCTCCAGAGGAAGCTACTCCAGATACAGTGCAGACAGGTGAACTCTATAGAATGTTCCAGCTGCTGATGACTCCTTGTTATTGCTGAACAAGAACTAATATACAACATATTTACATTGTTGGTGATTGAATTTTCACATTGATTTGTCTGCATCTCAGACTGCGAGACAGAAAGAGAACACCTAGCTCTAGAGGGACAGATGTGAAGCATGCACATAAGGTTAGTGGGAAGAGACGAAGACGCAAATCCTACTCTCCTATGAAGAAAAGGAGGAGAGACTCGCCGAGCCATCTGGAAGCACGCCGAATCACAAGGTACAGCGTTCCCAGCCTGGTTATTTATAGCTACAATACACATTTTGATGCCTAAAGGCAGCAGAAATATACTGCTGGTCCCACCTGCCCCCTCAGTTGGACAAGACCCAACCTGGAATCCTTCTCTCATGTTGATGAGTCGTGTGAAATGGCATTTAGCCCAAGGATGAGCTAACCGTCAGCTCTGAAGTCATCACATGTGCTAAGGAAGCAGATGGCGAACACAGGCAATCGTAAATGTGAAAAAAGAACAAGCAGGTTTCTCTAAACAGATTGGGGGATATTTACTAAACCTGTTGCAAATTATCCTCAGGCATGGAAAATATTGCGGCAACGCAGTTTTTTTATTTAGTGGCATATTTTCCAAGATTGATGATGTAAATGTGCACTGCCGCAGTTGTGTTAATTTGAATACACCTCCACTTCAGATCTGCTGCCTGAAGGCTGCTGTGCACATGTGGACCGAGAGGAAGCGTAGAGAGAAGTGTAGTTTACACCAACTAAACTGTAATATGATTGAAGAAATCAACAAACATATTTCAGAACAACAGTCACATTGTCAAATCATCATTTATTTCATTCAGTAATTGAAGCCTGGTTTGACCTGAAAGCCTTTAAAAGTCCCTCACATTCTACTCTGGTGAACAATGTGATTTACAGGCATCGTCTCTTCGAGTGTGAGTAACAGCTGCCATGCTGACTTCAGGGCCCCAAATTTTACACCTGCTTTCACCTGAAGTTAGATTTCATCCACAGTTCACTCTGTCTCAGCGGTGGTAAATCAGATCATCAGGTGCAGAGGGTATTTGTATAAAGTTCCATCCTCTCCTCCCTGATTTTTGAGTCCCTGGATGGGAACACTGTAAAATACATATTGCATGAGACCAAATGTGCAAACTCCTGCGATGATGCATTTCTTCTGTTTCTCTGCCGCAAAACCCCACTGTGACTCCTTAGTAAATATGAACACACAATTTCACTGTTTAGCACCAGAAAATGAGCTGGAAATCCTTAGCAAATATCCCCCCATTGTGTCTGCCACACAGTTAGCTTTATTTTTCTTTCATTTCACACTGCTCTTTGACAGCAGCAAATGATACACACCCAGACATCTAAACAAAAGAACACAAGACATGGATTTCAAACAGTGTATTTACACATCCAGCAGACACAGAGCACCATTAGCCCAGCGTTTGTTGGTTTGTTAATTTGTTGGTTGGTTTCTTCACAGCACAACTCAAAAAGTAATGAATGGATTGGGATTAGGTTTTTCAGAGAGGTAGGATTTGGAACAATCCATTAGACTGTGGTGCTGATCTGGATCCAGGAATGTTTTAAAAGATTCTTCACCCTTGTGAGATAGGGCCAATTTCAATGCTTTTGCTTCTAACTCCATAGGCATTGCCTGGAATGGTTGGACAAAAACTGCACCACATCCACATAATATCCACCACACACCTAAGTATGATCTGGATCCAAGTAATATTCTGGACCTACTGATCCAGAATGTTCACATTTATAGGGCTCACGTAAAACTCGCTATCGTGAGACAACAAATAAAGCTACAGACTTGCAGCTCAGATGATATATCATGAGTTAATGATGATATCAATGGGATTCCAAATGCTAGGGGAAGGTTTTCATGGTCAAGGAATCGCATTATGAAGGTCAAACTATCATGAGAATATTGCTTTTAAATGTAATGGCATTATGGGGACAGTGATCTGCTGTCAGGGCCATTCGGCAGCCGCTGCCTCTCCTCCGCCCTTCTCTCCCCT